TGTGGGGGGAGCGTTTTGCCAAAGACATCCTGACAGAGTGGGTATGCTGGAGAAGTTGGTTTACGACGTTGATTTTCAAAAAATGAAGTTTCGCCTGAGGCTTCCTCAGAAAATGAAACGCTGGAGATCAAATCAGATGTCGAATATCATACATGGTGGAGGGGGACGTTTCGCCTGAGACATCCTCGCACATTGGGAGTGGTGGAGGAGTTGTGCAGCAAACAGTGAAATTCTGGCATGAGGCATCCTCAGGAAATTGAAATGCTGAGCGCGGGCGTGGGACATCGAACATGGTGCAGGTAGGGGGGGGGGCAATTCGTTGGAGACATCCTCACACCGTATGTTGTTTGGAGGGAAGGGCTGGGACACATCAAGACGACGCAACTCGTTGTGGGCAGCGTCAAACCACGTACCAGTTCTCATAAGCATCATGATGAAGTGAAGCAAGCACTGACACCACGAAGGTACTGAGGCATCCTCACAACATGGTGATGCTGGAGGAGTTGCTTTACGACGTTAATTCTCAAAAACGGAGCTTTCGCCCTAGACGTCCTCACAACATTGAGATGTTGGAGATGTGGGGGGAGCGGTTCGCCCGAGACGTCCTCTCAAAATGCGGATGCTGGAGGAATTGTTTTACGACGCTGGACGCTGGTTCTCAAAAATAATACTTTCGCCTGAGACGTCCTCAGACCACTTCATGTTGGAGATCGGGCGTCGGATATCCAACATGATGTGCGTGTGTGTGTGTGTGAGGGGGGGTGCGTTTCGCCTGAGATGTCTTCACAAAGTGGGGATGCTGGAGGAGTTGGTTTACGACGCTGGTTCTCAGACGATGAAAATTCCACTTGAAGCATCCTCAGAAAATCCGGATGCTGGAGATCGGGCGTCGGATGTCCAACACAGTGTGTTGGGAGCGCTTCGCCAGAGACATCCTCGCACATGGAGGCGTCACCAGGGAACCCTCACCGCATACTGTTTGACTTCAATTCCTTACCTGCTTCGTGGGTCCCTCAACTTCGACGCGCCCAAGATCGGGAGCGGCCAAGAGGGGGGTGCCCAAGAGGGGGGGGTGCAAATCATGACCAGCGGCATGTGCGCGGCCCAGCGGGGGGGCCAGGGACGTAATGAAACAAGAAGAGGCGCCATGAAATCTGGGGAAATATCATGGCCCCCGCCATGATATCCACCCCCCCCTAGTCATCACCCCCCTCTTTTCCGCCCCCGACAAGACCCAGGGAGGGCCCGCAGAGGCCGGAAACGACCAAAAACCTGTCGCTGCAATGTCTTCCCATCGAGAGGAGATGCGGGGGCTCCCGTCGCCCTCATCCGTCAGAAAAAAAAGCGATCCACAGGAACGTAAACGCTCTGAGGTCCGCGCGGATTTCTTGGGTCGGCGCTGATAGGCGACCACATGTGAACCCGACCCCCACCCCCCACGGTTTCTGAGGGGGGGGGGTCACTTCGATCGGGAGCTCCCGAGCGAAACGAACCCCACCCCCCCTTAGAAATCGTAGAATGAGGAGGAGGAGGAGGAGGAGGAGGAGGAGGGAAGGAGGGGGAGGAAGGGGAGGAGGAGGAGGCGGAGGAGGAGGAGGAGGTGGGGGGTGGGGGTCGGCTTCACATGTGGTCGCCGAGCTGAGGCGGCGCTGGAGCGCCTCCAGGGGGGCCGGGCGCGGACCCGAGAAGTCCGCGCGAGCCTCGGGCAGAGGAGAATCGGGAGCATGCTCGCGCATCGACTGGCGACGCAGGGAACGAGCCCTTCGGGCTCTGCTGGATGTTCTCTCGGGGCCGCCTCGGGCCGCCTTTGGGGGGCCCTCGGGTCTTCTTGAAACCATCTGGGGCTGCTTGGGCCCGTCTTGGGCGGTCTTGTGTAAACCTAGACCCCTGCTGAGAGTGAAAAATAATCTCTGTTGAGGCACGGGGCTTCACTCAAAGCGTTTCCATAAAGTCCAGGTCCAGACATTCTGAAGTTTACGAAAATAATAGCTCCGATGAAACGCCCAGGGTCCGGTCCAAATTCTTGATTTTCCTAATCGAAGCCCGGAGTCCACAGAAGTTGATGCTCATTGTCCAACGTCTCGTACGGGTGTAGAAAGATCTTGGCTTCGCCAGCTAAACGTGTGGCTTCCTTCGTGTTTCGACCGCCGCCGCTGCGACTCGCACCTGGAGCATGGGCCGCAGCAGCGGCGCAGACTCTCCATGGTCTGAGCGCCTTGCCCCGCTTCAGCTCCCCCCTTCGCGGCCGCCGCTCCTCTCGCCCAGCCTCCGTGGTGGCGACCCGTCCGCGCGCAACCCGTGCAGGCCACCCCGCGCGGAGCGGGCATCCGCGCCGCCATCCCTGATGGGCCTGTTTTCCACCACCACCACCACCATAAGTTGGAGGGGGAGGGGGTCCTCCTCCTCCTCCTCCTCCTCTCTCCTCTTCCTCCTCCTCCTCCTCCTCCTCCTCCCCTCTCCTCCTCCTCCTCCTCCTCCTCCTCCTCCTCCTCCTCCTCTCTCCTCCTCCTCCTCCTCCTCCTCCTCCTCCTCCTCCTCCTCCTCCTCCCCCTCCTCCTCCTCCTCCTCCTCCTCCTCCTCCTCCTCCCTCTCCAACTTATGGTGGTGGTGGTGGAAAACAGGCCCGTCAATCCCCCTGCCCGCCAGGCCGCCCTCCCGAGGACCAGCGCCAGGCGAGAGCGGTCCCCCCCGGCCCGTCCGCTGGAACATCTTCTCCGGGACGCTGTTCGGCGTCGCCAGGTCCCAGTGGTAGACGTCCTCCCGTGGGGGGGAACCAGGCGGCGCAGAGGCGCGCTGTGAAAGAAGCGGCCGAGCTCGGAGGGCTGGAAATCTCGAGGGAGCGAAAGAGAGAGAGAGAGAGAGGCACACACACACACACACACCACAACACCACACACACACACAAACTCTTCAAACAGCAAAGAGAACTTGCGAGAAGGGCCGAAGGCCCCAAATCTGAGCGTCGTGAACTGTTCACGCCGGGCGTGTTCGCCCAAGTTCGAGCCCAAAGATCATCATTGATCGATCCGGCTCGAAAAGTGCCGCAGAACGATTGGGTCTGGGACTCAGGTCGTGATTTTGCGCAGGAGACAGGAAGAGGGCCTCCACTATCACGACGACGACGGTGAGGGTCACTTCAAAGCGACAGGAGGATTCGCATGCGCGGTCTCACCGTCGGAATATTTTCCTCTGGACACCCCGCGCAGGAACACCCAACCCACCATCATCATCATCATCATCATCATCATCATCATCATCATCATCATCATCATCATCATCATCAGCAGCAGCAGCATCATCATTATCGTCACCACCATCACCGTCATCATCACCATCATCACCATCATCATCATCAGCAGCAGCAGCAACATCATCACGCCCCTGGCCCACGGGTTACAACAACAACGGCTCCCGCCTGAGACTTCCTCCCGATTTAGCCAGGACCCCGTTCCCGCGTGAGACGTCCCCGCATTTTATTCAGGAATCGCGCTCTCGCTTGGGATTTCCTTGCAATTTATTCAAAAACCGTTTTCTCGGCGCTCTGGAGTCGCGCTCACGCTAGAGACTTGCGTGCAAATTACTCAAAAATACCGACCTTGCGTTGGAATTTCCCGCAATGTACTCAAGCACCGCGTTTCCGACACTCGGGCACCCAGGAGTCGCGCTCACGTCTAGGACTCCCTCACATATTCCTTAGGAATCAAGAAGATCTCGCTGCCCTTCGCGGCTTCGTTGCAGCCCTTCGTGGCCCCGTTGCAGCCTTTCGTGGACCCGTTGCAGCCCTTCGTGGCCCCCTCGCTGCCCTTCGTGGCTCCGTTGCAACCCTTCGTGGCCACCTCGCTGGCCTTCGTGGCCCCGTTGCAACGTTTCGTGGCCCCCTCGCTGCCCTTCGTGGCTCCGTTGCAACCCCTCGTGGCCACTTCACTGCCCTTCGTAGCCCCGTTGCAGCCCTTCGTGGCCCCCTCGCTGCCCTTCGTGGTCCCGTTGCAGCCCTTCGCGGCCCCCTCGCTGCCCTTCGCGGCCCCGTTGCAGCCCTTCGCGGCCCCCTCGCTGCCTTTCGTGGCCCCGTTGCGGCCCTTCGTGGCCCCCTCGCTGCCCTTCATGGCCCAATATCTGCACGCCCTTCGTGGCCCCCGCTCGTTCGCGCCCGTCGTGACCCCATATGCATGCCCTTCGCAGCCCCGCCGTCGCCCTTCGTGGCCCCCTCGCTGCCCTTCGTGGCCCCGTTGCTGCCCTCAGTGGCCCCGCCCTTGCCCTCCGCGGCCCAATATACGCATGCCCTTCGTACCCCCCGCTCGTTCGCACCCGCTGTCGCCCTTCTCGGCCCCGCTGTCGCCCTTCGTGGCCCCCTTGCTGTCCTACGTGGCCCACAAGCTACCCTCAGTGGCATCGTCGTTGCCTTCTGTAGTCCTGCAGTATCTGCCCTTCGTGGCCCCCGTTCGTTCGCGCCCTTCGTGGCCCCATGCGCATTCCCTTCGTGTACGCGCTGTCGCCCTTCGTGGCCTATTTCGTGCCCTTCGTGGCCCTGCTGTCATTCTCTCTCTCGCTCTCGTTATCGCTCGTTGTCGCCGTCGTCGTCGTCGACGTCGTCGTCGTCGCGGTCGGTCCCCTGTCCGTCACTCTTGGGGTCGGGTTGCCGCCGATCAGCGCTGCCGCTGGCCAGGCCGGCGGTCCGCGGCCGCCCCGCCGCTTCCCGGGGCCCGTCCTGCAGAGAAGAAACGTATACCCCCCAAAAAGGGCACGATCGAAGACGAAGAGTGCGGGCATCGAGGGTTTGGGGAATACGCGTGAACGGGCACTCGAGCAGATAAGAGCGAGCACTTTTAAAATGATTGTTGTTGTTGGGGCCGGTTCGCCGAAACCCCGAAACGCCTGAACGTGAACCTCGATTTCAAAGGAAACGCAATCGGCGCCTGGGCGAGAGCGCCAGGGCGGATCTAAGGGGCCTTCAATGACAATTGTTTAATCATTAAGGTTCAACAACAACAACAACAACAACAACAACAACAACAACAATCATTATAAGGCTGTTCGATCTTATCTGCTCGCGTGTCATTCAATATGCACATCCCAAACCCTGGATACCCGCCCTCTTCGATTTCGATCGTACCCCCTTTCTGGGGGGTACATTCATGCCCTGCCACGCGTGGTCGGTGGAGCCCTGGAAGACGAAGGGTTGCAGATAACGGGGGAGAATGAGGACGAAGGGAACGGAGGAACGGAGGGGAGGGGCAAGGAGGGAGGAAGATGATTTGCGTTGCGAGTGGCAGTTCAACTTGCGCCATGGCTTGCGCCAGCCACTCCAACACAGGTTAACAATAAGTTTCGCCATGGGTCGCGCCATAAACATCGCCACGTACCACCCGTTGAAAGAACACTTCGTGGATACCGCCACGGGGGGACGTACAGCTGCGAACTGGTGTCAGAAACAAATGCCGTGGAACCCTGAAAAGAAGCGGGATGTTGTGAGTGGGGCGGAAGGATCGTGAAAACTGCAACCGTGTCAAGAGGAGCGCGGAAGCCCCAAGTGAGAGCGCGATTCTTCAATACATTGTGAGGAAATATCAAGCGGGAGCCGCGCTCCGGTGGTAAATTGCAAGGAAGTCCCAAGCGAGAGCGCGACTCTTCAATACATTGTGAGGATGTATCACGCGGGAGCCGTTGCTGTTGTAAGCCGAGGGCCAACGACACAGTTTGACCTGATAAGATACAGGGCGCGAGCTCCTGGATGGGTACTTCATTTTTAGGAAAAATGCGAAGGACGGGGGGGATCAACAATAATGATGCTTCAGAAATGAGTTCAATAACTACTACTACTACTACTACTACTACTACTACTACTACTACTACTACTACTACTACTACTACTACGACTACGACTACGACTACGACTACGACTACGACTACGACTACGACTACGACTACGACTACGACTACGACTACGACTACGACTACGACTACGACTACTACTACTACTACTACTACTACTACTACTACTACTACTACTACTAGTAGTAGTACTACTACTACTACTACTACTACTACTACTACTACTACTACTACTACGACTACTACTACTACTACTACTACTACTACTACTACTACTACTACAAAAACCATCATTGTGATACTGTTCGTTCTTAAAGGATCGCGTGCCGTTCAACACGTATATCCCAAACCTGGATACCCGCCATCCTCATATTCGGTCAACCCCCTTGGGGCGAAATCTTCTTTACATGCCGCGGGTATTGTACTTGGCGCAGCCCCTGCAACAGGGGGAGAGAGGACGGATGGACGGAGGAGAATGAGGGGGAGGGAGAAGAATGGGGCACGAGAGAGATTAGCAGGAAGCAAGACCGGGAGATCGGGCGGGTGGACCCTAACGGGCGGGTCGGGAAGGCGGGCCCAAGCGGCCAGGTCGAGCAGGCGGGTTGCTGAAGCGTGATTACTGCAAGAATCGCGCGGAAACCTCGAGCGACAGCGCGAGTCCCAAGTAAATCGTGAAGATGTCCAGAGCGAGAGCCCGATTCCTGAATGTCGAGGGCGCGGCGTCCCAATAAACTGCGAGGAGCACCACGCGAGAGCGCTATTCTGCAGAAGTCAAACAGAAGCCCTGCCCGAGAGCGCGATTCCGGGATACATCGTGAAAAGATATAATGCGGGAGCCGTTGTTGCTGTTGCTGTTGTTGTTGCTGCTGTTGCTGTTGCTGTTGCTGTTGTTGTTGTTGCTGTTGTTGCTGTTGTTGTTGCTGTTGCTGCTGTTGTTGTTGTTGTGAGTCGGGGGCCGCGGGCGCAGGCTGAACCTCCAGACTTTCTCATGCCAACAAAAAAGGTGCGGGCCCCGGGAGGAGCACTCTACTTGAAAAGCAAGAGGTGCACCGAGGGGGGAGCAATATCAAAGAATTACACGTCGGTCGGTATATTCGGGCCTCCAGCGGCATATTCGGGACGGTCCGCGCTCGGCGAGGCACAGCTGCTGGACAGCGTCCCGAGGCTGGATCATCGACGACAATCGACGGAAACGCCCGAATGAAAAACAGCACACGAAATAAGTACACGTCGGTCGGAAGAAGTAGGTAGAAACATGAAGTAGGAAGGCGGGCAAAGTGGACTGGTCCAGGCCCTCCCAGAAGAGAAAAACAAAATTAGCCTGGCGAAGGACCCAACCATATGCAGTTGAGAGTACCGCAATTGTGAATATCTTCTTCGGTGGCGCTCCCTATGGGGCCACGAGCCGTATGAGGGGTGTGCCGAAATGCGTGGCAGTGTACACAACACGAACGAAGACGATAGGTCCGAATATGAAAGCTTGAGCGCGTGCGAGTCGGATCGCGAGCGAGTCTGATTATGAATGAATCTGCGCGCGATTGATTCTATTCGCATGAATGCGTGCATGGATACGCCCAGTGTAAATGTATGTATACGACTGTGAACAGTTTGGGTCTGCGTGACTCTCGGTACTCGTGACTCTGAGCGTCGCCTCTGCAGGGGGCTTCCCTGGGAACCCCGACGGCAGCGCCCGCGCGCCGCGACGCCCATGTCGGCACGCCACACACCTGGTGTGCGGGACGCATGCGGACGGCAGCACTGGGGCCTTCGGTGGAGCTCCCTGTGGGGCCACGAAACGTGTGAGGGGTGTGCCGAAATGGGTGTGCGGGACGCATGCGGACGGCAGCCATGGGGCCTTCGGTGGAGCTCCCTATGGGGCCACGAAACGTGTGAGGGGTGTGCCGAAATGGGTGTGCGGGACGCATGCG